TATATATATATATATATATATATATATATATATATATATATATACATGAGATCATTATTGTTTTTCAATTCATCTGATATTAGAATTTAAATTCCTATCACATTTTTAGTTTGTTTTACTAGGTTGATTATTATAAATTAGAAACTGCTCATTTTTGAACTAGATATGCAAACAACTTCTTAAAAACATAGTTTTGAACTTGGGTATTGGTTGAAACAAACCTGAACCATGTCAAACAAGTTTCAAGTAATGATGTGAAGTGTAGGGTATATGTCTAAGAAGTGTATAAAAAGTGTTTTAAATTAAAACATATATCATGTAATTGAGTACATGTCTGAATAAATGTATGCATATATCCAAGGAGTGCTCATAAAGTTTAGGTATGGGTACGTGTCAGATACACGTTGGGGTACAGGTGCAGCTTCATGATAGAGGTACCAGGGTGATGTAGGTTTCAACATTCCAAAAAGAACAAATAAATTGGGAGTGAGGATATGAGATGGGATTTTAGTGAATTGAGTAAATAAGCACTAGAGGTAGACCTAAAAGAAGCATGAATCAAGACAATTGTAAAAGGATGTAGCTGTTGTTAATTCAATCAAGGAGGTTGTCCTCAACAAGTTAGAACAGAAGAAAAAGGGATCATGTTTCTAACTCCAAAGTTGGGGATAAAAGTTTGATTGTTGCATTTGATGACTGATGAGAAAAAGTTTGATTTTCCAGTACAATTTGTTTTGAGGTTCCGGTTGAAGGTGGGGGGAAGAACATGTGTCAGAAGAAAATAAAATGTGTATAAATTATAAGCCCCTTCCTCCCATTGCATTACTTGTTTTCTATCATTCACTTTATACGAAGCCAAAAGTTACCTCTTAAATTTTTAATGCATGTCTTAATGAGTTAATATGCCTTGTACATGTCAATTAGAATCTTGCTTAGATTTGTTTGATTCTTTCTGTCCCTTTGGTAAGTAAATTAGAAAGTATATCCATTTCTTTGTTTTCTTTCATTCACTTTATACAGAGCAAAAAGTTGTCTTTTAATGCATATCTTAATAAGTTAATGCCTTGTAAATGTAAACTACTTTCTTTCAAGTTGTAGCCCTAACAGTCGAACATATTTTCATTTATTGTATATTATGTGGATAGCTGACAGTGCTACAAAAAATGGGCAGGTGAAAGCTGATAAATATGTTGAAAGGAAATGCTTTGACCGTCATAGTTCTCCACAAACACCAATATCCAATCTGGAAGCTCAGAATTCTCTGGTATGAATTGCTTACTAGAAGACTCAACTCATGCTGTTTTTATACTTTGAAATTGAACTAGCCTGTAGTATCTTCAACAGAGTTCTCAAAATGCATTTTTTTAGAACAAGGATGAGGGGTTCAAAAGGACCACCCAGCCATGCCTACCTTGCCCAAATAATTGTATACAAAATAGCAGCTATCCCCCCAACTCAATATGCAGTTGATTAAATTCATTATGTGTAATTGTTTACCCATTGTTCTGCAGTTTGAATGCTTCATGCGTTGCTTTTACAGGAATGTAGTTCTGAGTGCCCTGTGACTTATGGTAGCCCCGATGAAATGGTTATGAAGGACCTGAACCCTTGTTTGACCCCATGGTTTTCAAAGACAAAGTCTAAGGTAACAAACATTATTCTAACTTATAATAGTTTGTTTGCCCAAATGAAGCTAATGTGGTTTTTCAAAAAAAAAAAAAATCTGTACTTATTTATACTTTATTTATTCGTGATGCTCGTGTTTTCCACTTCAATAGTCATTTGGTAGCTATTAGATATGTGCCAGCTTCTAAATTGTGACAACTTTCCAGGAATATGATCAGATATCGGGTTATGATTTTCCAAGCAAGAATAGGTCATTTAAGAACAGTGCAGAATTTAGCCCGAATTTTTCCAGTTGTCGTGATGGAATTTTGTCAAAGAGTTCAGAACACTGTCAGCAACCTAGGCATTGCTTTAGCACTGCTCGAAAAATATACAAGTCAGATGAAAGTAAGTGTTCCACTGGAAAGCTGAAACTCCAAAATATGTTTTGAAAGTCGTCCTTGCTGTTGTAGCCTTTAGTTCCTGGAGGGGTGGCACTGGCAGTTTGTTTTTACTCATCTTGTTGAGTTTCTATTCGCATGTAACAATTGAATTTTACATCTGTAAAAGGAACATCATATTGCCAAGATATTGGGGAGCAATGTATGTGTAATGGAGCAGGTGAGCTTCAGACTAAATCTTTTAGTCATCTGATCGGGTTAATTGCACTTTAATCCCTAAAGTTCAATTCTTAACTTTGGTATCTGAATTTAAATTTTTTCTAAATAATATTCCAACATTTCACTTTTCATAACATTAACAGTGTCTGTTACATACCATGAAATCTTTGCTCAAAAAAAAAAATGCTGTTTCTACCCCATTTCTTATTGTGACTATTTAAGCATGAGTTTTATTTGAGTACCCCCCACAAAACATTACCATGTATTTGATGATGCAACAGTTTTAGCGCAACGCTTATAACCGTTGCGCTAGGTATCTGATATAGTAGATCAAGCATTGGACGAGACAAGAAGAAAACCACCCATGTCAACTCGGACATCATATTAGGAAAGAGTTTTTTTTTGGTTATTTCATTTTAGATTAGGAAAGAGTTCTTTTTTGTTATTTCCTTTTAGATTAGGAAATAGTTTCTTTTTAGTTATTTCCTTTTAGATTCAGATTTTCTTTTTTATTAGAGTTTGGATAGGTTTAGTTGGCTATAAATAATAGCTTCTTTTGTAAATCAAATAATTAACTTTCAATTATTCAATCAAGAGAATTGTTCTCCATTGTTTTTCTTCTCAAGTTTGAGAAACCTAGGGTTTGTGGATTCAAGCTTGTTTTCTACCTGCTATTATCAGGGCTTGTCGGCATCGAAACGATATCCGATCGGTCTCCCCATTTCTATGTCTGCGTCAAGTGGTATCAGAGCTTCAGCTTCAACATCCTCGACAATGGCAGATGACGACGAGAAGGAACTTTCTCTACAGGATCTTCTACGAGGATGGATTCTATGGACTGAAGATCTGACACATTGGAGGCGTCTCTTCAGAACCTTCAACAAGTCGTTAAAGGACTTACAATAATTTTGCCGATGGTCTTCACCTAAGCAAACCCAAAGCTAGGCTAGCGCGACATCCACCCCCGTACAATCCCAAACCCCCTCCAGTTCATCCCCCTTCATATCAACCATGTCCAAACCAAACCCCTCCATATCAACCCCCTCTTCATCAGCCTCCTCCATATCAACCCCCTCCACATCATAGACGACATCCCAACCAACCCCCTCCACATGATGAATCCAGTGACGAAGAAGCAGACTATGATGCCCAATTTGAGAGACCATGGTACGACAACGTCTCGAGCGAAGAAGGAGGGCGACCTTATGGCAGAGGTCGAGGCAGAGGCTTCAACCATTGTCGCAATTATAACCGACAAGGCGAACATCACCACGACCAAGAGTACCGGATGAAGGTAGAACTCCCCTCCTTTAGAGGAAATCTGGACATAGAGGCTTTTTTGGATTGGCTCTATGAAATGGAGAAGTTCTTTGTGATGGCTAATGTACCCGAAGCAAATCAAGTGAAGTTTGTGGCATATCGTCTCAAAAGAGGAGCCGTGACATGGTGTGATCAGACTCAAAACACTAGGCGACGGCAAGGTAAGCAACCAGTTCGGGTTTGACGACGCATGAAGCAATTACTCTAGACTAGGTTCCTACCACCCGACTACCAGCAGATCCTTTACAACCAGTTCGAGCAATGCTGTCAAGGCATCAGATCAGTAAGCGCCTATACCAATGAGTTCTTCCGTCTTACTTCTCGTTGCGATTTGTCGATGAGCGAGGAACAACTCGCAGCCAAGTATATCGGCGGTTTAAAATACTCAATTCAAGAGAATGTGGTCATCCACAATGTATACACCGTGGAGGAAGCCCACAATATGGCTCTAAAGACCGGAAGATTAGCCTCCAAGACACCATCTTTCAGGCGAACCAATCAGGAAAGTTCGGCCGAGAAGGCAAGAGGTGAGTGGGGAGGGCTAAGGACGATTGATCGGTCTAATCCTCTACGATCAGCCGAGCGGTCGACAACTCAACCACCACCCCAGACGACTCAATCAAATCAGTATGCCAAGCCGATTGCAGGAAAGTGTTTCTGATGTCTCCAACCAGAACACAGGTCCAACGAGTGCCCGCAGCGGTAGAAGGTTAATCTAGCAGATTATGAAGAGGCGGAAGACGGACACAATACATCTGACGAAGATTATGAGGAAGAGGTTGCCGAGATTGAGGGCGACAATGTGTCGTGTGTTGTTCAACGACTCCTATGCACCCAGAAGACTCCAAATTCATCACAACGATATCAAATCTTCTTTTCTAAGTGTTCGGTCAACAACAAGATGTGCACCCTCATCATTGATAATGAAAGCTATGAAAATATAGTATCAAAGACCTTGGTAGACCACTTGAAGCTGCCAACTGAAGCAAAACCCGTGCCTTATACCATCGGATGGATCAAGAAGGGTCCCTCGGTGAAGGTGACCGAAGTATGTCACGTGCCACTATCACTAGGCAAGACTTATAATGATTCTGTTGCTTATGATGTTGTGGACATGGATGCATGCCATGTATTGTTGGGGCGACCGTGGCAGTATGACGTCGATGCTAACATGGCGGCAAGAAGAATGAATATTCTTTCGTATGGAATAATAAGAAGATTATCCTACCACCTATTCCACCTTATCCAAAGCACCCCAAAAATCAAAAATCTAAACCAATATCTCTTTTCAACAAGGGTGAATTTCTGGCCGAGTCAAATGAGTTAAAGTAGAGGTTTGCCTTAGTAGTAAAGGAAGAAGTGAAGACACTAATTGAGATCCCAGAGAAGATGAAGTCCCTGCTTAAGGACTTTAAAGTTTTGGTTCTTAAAGAGCTGCCAGAGGGACTTCCTCCCACGAGGGATATTCAACACCACATCGATTGCCTTCCAGGTTCAGTATTTCCTAATCTCTCTCACATGAATCCACATGAGAAAAAGATCCTACAAGATACCATTGAGGACCTCATAAAGAAGGGCCATGTTTGAGAGAGTATGAGTACATGCGCAGTTCCAGCACTGTTGACACCAAAGAAGGACGGAAGTTGGCGGATGTGTGTGGAAAGTCGAGCCATTAACAAGATCATAATTCCCTACAGGTTTTCAATTCCTCAGTTAGATGACATGCTAGACCAGTTGGGAGGTGCGAGCATCTTTTTAAAGATCGACTTGAGGAGTGGCTATCATCAGATCTGAATCCGACCTGGCGACAAGTGGAAGACTGCTTTCAAAGGTAGTGAGGGTCTCTACGAATGGTTAGTGATGCCTTTTAGGTTATCGAACGCTCCAAGCACCTTTATACTTTTGATGAACCAAATTTTAAAGACTTTCTTAGGACAATTTTTAGTCGTCTACTTTGATGACATTATCATCTATAGCTAAGATGAACAGGAGCATATGTTGCATCTCAGAGAAGTTTTTTGAGTACTAAAGGAGAACAAGCTTTACATCAATCTTAAGAAGTGTGTGTTCTTAATGACTCGGCTAGACCTGTACTCAGAAAACTGGATATAGCCGGATATCCAGTGTAGAATAGGCTCAGACCTGTAGTTCCTTTCAAGTATCTCATCAATCTCAGAACAGCATCCCAATGAAGCTTTCCAGGATTACTTGTGAACCTACTAAGCATTCCTACAGCAAATGCTATATCTGGCCTTGTGCAGCTCATTGCGTACATAAGACTTCCAATTATCTTTGAGTACCTTAGCTGCTCTACTGGTCTTCCAGTGTTCGGTCGAAGCTTCTTATTGTAATCATACGGCACTAACAGTTCTGGCAGGTCGTAGTAGCCATACTTCCTTAGCATGCTCTTGACATAATGAAATTAGGACAATCCAATACCCTCTTCAGAGTATATGATTTTGATTCCGAGAATCACGTCCGCGGTTCCAAGGTCCTTCATGCTGAACTGAGCTGATAAAAATTTCTTAGTAGATGTTACTATCTCCAAATCACTCCCGACGATGAGCATATCATCCACATAGAGACAGATAACCACCATCATCCCTCAGTGACCTTGATGTATAGGCACTTGTCAGACTCACTGACTTGATACCCATTGTTGCGAACAACCCCATCAAACTTCTTATGCCAGAGTTTCGGTGCCTGCTTAAGTCCATATAGAGACTTAATAAGTTTACAAACTTTACCAGCTGGAGCATCAAGTCCTTCTGGTTTCTCCATGTAGATCTCTTCTGTGAGGTCTCCATTGAGAAAGGCAGTCTTCACATCCATCTGATGTATGACGAATCTTTTTATCGCCGCCTATGTGATAAGCACTCTGATGGTAGTAATCCTACAAACTGGTGCATAGATGTCAAATAAATCTATTCCTTCTCTTTGAGAGAATCCTTTCGCCACCAGTCTTGCTTTGTACTTCTCAATAGTACCATCAGGACGAAGCTTCTTCTTGAAGATCCACTTGCAACTGATAGGCCTAGCACCTTCAGGTACATCCACCAGCTCCCACGTGTGATTTTGGATCAATGAATCCATCTCATCATCTATAGCTTCTTTCCACAGAAGAACGTCTGTTGACTGCATTGCTTCTTGGAAAGTCTGCGGATCTTCTTCCACATTATATGTGATGAAATCATCTCTAAAATCTTTCTGTTTTCTGACACGCTTGGAAGATGGTTCATTAACTCCTTCATCATTGACATTTTTAGTTTCTCGCGAAACTGGCTCCTCTGGCGCGTCTGACGTACTAGCATTCTCTGCTATATCTTTGAGTAATAATCCTTTATCTTTGATAAACTTATCCTCAAAGAATTCTGCATCCCGAGCTTCAATGATGGAGTTGGTTCCAAGATCAAGGAACCTGCAAGCATCACTATCTTCAGCAAAGCCAAGAAACACACATCTGTTTGCCTTTGGTCCGAGCTTAGGCCTTCTGATATCTGGAACTCGAACATATGCGAGACACCCCCACATTTTGAGACTATCCAAAGGATCTGGATATCCTAACCATAACTGAAGAGGAGTACTATTAGTTTTAGAATAGGGTACTCTGTTCAGAATCCAGTTTGCCATCAGCAAAGCCTCTCCCCAATAGCATGTAGGTAGACCGGATGTGATTAGCATCGAATTCACCATCTCGGTCAATGTGCGATTCTTCTTTTTCTGTAATTCCATTAGA